TTTACCCGAGTAGGGTAGGGTTAAAACTTAGTTCTAGCAATTAGGTGTATGCAGATCGACCATTAGAGACTTAGGCATTACTTGTTTGCGGTAGAACCAAGAGTTAAAAAAACTCTCATTATGAAAAAAGATTTCCGATTAAATCCCAAAGGATAACATGCTTTGATGTTTTTTTTTTTGTGTTTTTTTAGAGAAGAGGTGCATTGATTATTGTTTGTAATTCATGTTGCACTAAAGACTATGACTTGGAGCGAATGCGTCGCATATCGTCCAAAGGACATATGCTAAACACTCTAGACAATTGATAGGAGGCCTCCTAATCACCATTTCCTAAGTACTTAAGGCCCGTAACGTACAACAATCCTTAACCTTTATTAGATGTTTTGAGAAAGTTTGAAGATGAGAAGAGAAAGACACTCTAAAGCGAGAATAAGACTCAACCTAATGTTCACATACAAAGTGCACCTATGATTAGGGTGAAAGGTAATGCTACTTAATATTATCATGCATGGATTCAAACCTAAGGTCTATCATAGTCAACCTTGAACAAGGAAGATTAAAGGTCCTAAGGGAACATGGCAAAGAAAGACAAAAGAAGAAGAAGAAGAAAACATAAGAAAATGCAAGTATGCAAACATGTAATGCACAATTAGAATGAAAGTGAGGGAGGAAAAAAGGCGTGGGGCAGTAGCCTCCACAAGCACATCTCAACCTCAAGCAATGCACATGAGAAGATGCAAGAACAAAGAAATGAAAGCACACGAAGCACACAAATGAGCTTAAACAAGTTCAAGCCAAAAGTGAGATGCAACGGGAGAAGTCATGACTCCTATAACCATTCAAGCATCAATCACCGAAGAAAAGTGGGAGGAAAAAGTGTGGGACAACAGCCACCACAAGCACATCTCAACCAAATCATTCTTCAAACTCATGCAAAGACCAATGATAAACATCACTTTGAATAACATATACGAGAGTATGCATTCAAGTGGAAAGCGACCGCGCGTCGAAGCAATCATGATTAAACAATCAGGAACAGTGACATATATCCAAAACATCTCACTCCTAATGCATCATACTGATCCATGAGAATTCAAAGTTAAATGACATCAAAACAAGCATGAAAAACAACAAAACAGGTATGCTGGCACAATGTTAATCAATTAACACCAGGGGTTAATCGATTAACCATTGAAAAATGCGTGAAAATTTGAATATTTGTGTTTGTTAATCGATTAACCAATTGGTTAACAGATTAACATTGTTCCAGCAGCAGAAAACAACAGTCCAGAAGCACTTTTCAGCAATTAATCACTTCTCCAATCATTCGGATGATCACGTAATCAATTGAGCACGAAATTAAACCAGAAAACAGTGATCAAATCAGCATGTAATCACAATCAAATAACAATATCTCAAATCACATTGATCAAGATTAACCAAATCAATCAAAAATGAAGATCCACATTGAATATGCAAAATAAGCTCAAAATGCAATGGATCTGGAATTCCAACCTACGAAGCGGGGAATTGCTTCGGTAATTATTGATTCAACCTCGATTGAGTAGATCCAAGCGAGAAATCTGGAAAACTTCAAGATCCAAGTGGTTGCTTATAGTAAAAATCAAGATCCACCAAAGTTAAGCAAGAATTATCCAAATAAGCTCCTCTAGAACCACTTCAAAATTCAGATCCAAACTTGCACGAAAATTGAATGTAGAATTAGAGATGATAAGGATGAAGGATGGAGGTTTAACTCTTAGAAATCAATGATTCCAATGGAGAATTAATGAATTCAAGAAAAGAGAGCTTTGGTGAAGGTTTGGGAATGGAGAAGTTGAGAGCAAATTGAGAGAGTGAGAATGAATTTTGAAATGAGAATGAAATTATGAGAATTCATTGTGTGAGGTTTAGAGCAAATCATTTAAATACCCCTTAGGTTTGGATCTAAATGAGGTTTGGAATGTGGTTTGTGAAAACATGGAATGGGATTAGGAATGGGAATTTGGAGGGAAAATGAAATTAACCAAAATTCAAAGTGATTCTAGATCCTTCCTTTGGCTTAAAATCAGTTCACAAGTGATCAAAATTGGACCCCAAAGTGGCTTCACTTGAAAATTGACGTGCAGAGCTGAAAATTGCACTAGTTAATCGATTAACCATATGGTTAATCGATTAACTCTCTCAAAACTTCAAATTTGACCTGATTTTGACTTGGCCAATTGGTTAATCGATTAACACCTTAAAAATTTGAATTTTGGCGCCTTTTGGAGGGAAAACTGCACAAATGTCTGTTTTCATCTGTTTTGAGCTATGTTCAGCCTCTGAAACTCGCTTTTGAATTCTATAACCTTGATAATGCTCGATATAGCTTGAATGCTGCCTCCTGATCTAAAAATGTCCTACAAAATAAAATCGACCGCTCGATCGTTGGGCAAAATAAATGTCGGAGCCTCCGATGCTCGCTGTTCAGTCTTTTGCGCTAAAAAAGAGCCCTGAGCCACAGGAAAACCTTGATCCCCTGCCTCAAGAACAAATACTATAATATGCAAATGCAAATGCTAGAACAATGCAGTGAAAACATAAGCCAAGTAAAGAAAAGGTTGGGCAAATTTTGGGGTACAACACCATTCGCAACACATTACCTCATGAGATTTCAGTAGTTTTGATTGAGTTGTGCTCATTCTTTAGACAATGATGTGCCAAGGTATTGAAAATTGAAGAATTGGAAAAAATTGAAAAACCAAATTGTCCTCACTTTATGCCACATGAAAATTTTATTTCCTCCCTCGTTCTTCACGGTTATGGTTCACTTGGTTGTTCACCTTGTTGAAGAAGTTAAACTTGGAGGTCTTGTTCATTATCGAGGATGTATCATGTTGAAAGGTAAATTATGTTATTTTATTTTATTGTTACTAACTTAGAAAGTAGAAAGATTTTTTTTAAGCGATACTATTGTGGTTCAATAATAGGTACTTGGGAAAACTTAAATCGCATGTACGTAATAAGGCAAAACCAGAAGGGTCTATTGCAGAAGGATACCGTTTTGAAGAGATCCTTACATTTTGTTCAAATAACCAAAAAGGCGGTTTCGAAGTATTACTCAGAATCAAATGAAGCGCAGTCAAAGAAGTGCTGCTGAGATAGATAAGAAGGATCATAGAGATTTTGCTCATTGGTTCCTGAATCGTGTGAGTTTTTGTACAAAAATAGATGTTTTTATTTAATTGGATTTTAATAATAACAAGACTAATTGGATGTTGTATCGTGTACAACAATCTTGACAACATTCATGGACTAGATAAAGATGTTCTTATTAGTCTTGCTTATGGCCCTTTTGATAAAGTTAAAAGATTTACTGCGTTCAATGTCAATGGATTCAAATTTCGAACATTGGAACGAGATAATCTTTTAAAAACTCAAAACAGTGGGGTTTTTGGCTTGTTTGAGACGTGAAGTTATTCAAGCAATATTGATACCCATGTTGATAGACATTATTGTGCTTTCCTACGATGGCTTCACAGTGCCCATGTTTAAATGTGAATGGGATAATACCACAAACCCAAGAGGCATTAAGATAGATAAGTTGGATTTTACCTCTATATACTTTACAAAACTACTACATTCTGGGGAACATGAAGATAATGAGTTGTACATTCAAGCGTCAGAAACTCATATGGTTTTTTATGTGGATGATGAGAATGAACAAGGATGGAGCATACCTTTTCATTTGAAGCTAAGAGACTTGTATAACATGGGTGGAAATGATGAAATTATGTCACCCATTATGCTATATCCATCACAAAATTTGGAACAAATTTTTTTGAATGATGATATTGGAACTTCATCAGTAAATGCTAACAATAATTAATATATAGTTTTTTATTGATAAGAAATCTAGTTTGTTTGTATAATTAACATTATTGTGTGAGACTTATGTTTTTTATTTTTTATCCCTAATTAATGTATGAGATGACATTATTACTCTATGTTTTTTGTTGCTTATCCCTAATTAATGCATGAGATGACATTACTACTAATATAAAATTTTGATGTTTACTACTATTAGTGTACTGTCTTTTTAATACATATACTTGCAATTGAAGCCTTTTGTGAGACAATGATTTTGTCATATGAGGAAATTCGCCTCAAAAGAATTGCAGAGAATAAGAAAAAGCTAGAGGCTCTCAGTGTTCTAAAGCTCTCTCAATCCCTTCACAAAGCATCTTCTTCGTCTTCCAAACCATCACTGGTTAGTAATAAATTCTCAATACTAGTCTATAAAAATTAATTGTATTAATTGTTGATTGATATTCACTGATGTATTTTATTTAGTCTGTGAAGGGTCGTCCGAGGTTTGTACAACCTGGAGAGCTTGAATTAAATAAGAAGCGCATACGTTCAACTACAACGCGCAAATTATCAATAATCCCTCCGCCAATCAAAACTACAATAACTCTTCCGCCAATCCAAACTAAAATTACCCCTCTGCGAATTGAAACTACAATAATCCCTTTGCCAATCCAAACTGCAAAAGATGTTGTGGTAGCAGATGAGGATGAAGATGTTGTGGTAGGAGATGAGACCGAAGATGATGTGGTAGGAGATAAGGCTAAAGATGTTGTGGTAGGAGATGAGGCTGAAGATGTTGTGGTAGAAGATGTGACTGAAGATGTTGTAAATGTGGCTAAATCTGTGTATTGGGATGTAAATGTCATTAGTAAGTAATTTAAGGTTAAAGTATTTGTAAATAATTTAATTTTTTTTACATAGTTGAGTTATGACATTAATTTGTTTACTTGTTTATGTGATAGATGAGGAGGTTATGTTTCAAACAAACGTTTATGTGTGAAAGACTTGGTTGCAAAATAAAAGTCTGATGGAACATGGATAATACTTGAATTTGATAAGGATCATTGTGAAATAGGACCAGCTTCTGGTTTGTTAGCAGGGTATATCATTTGGGTATAATTATTAGAATGTTTAAAGATTTTCCCATAATGTTCGAGAGTTGGAAGGATATTCCAGCGGATACAAAAACAAAGTTTTATGATTCAAAGATAAAGGTTTCATTAATAAATAAATTACATATTTTTTAAATTAATTTTAAGGTGATTATTATTTGCTTTGTTAACTAATTTTTATGGTTAGCTACACTTTCTTGTTGATGATGGGCGTGACAAAGAATTCATACTTGCTTCTGCTGCAAAGAAATGGAAGGATGGTCGACATCAATTGTTTTGCCAATTTTATAGATGGGATCCCACTTTGGAGAAAAATCTTCAAAATTATCCAAAATACAGAGGCATTCTGAAAAACGATTGGGCTGTTTTTGTTCAATATAGGCGGAAAGAAAAAGCACAGGTAATAGTAGTGCTTTTATTTGTTAGATTTATCTGATTTGTATGTTATCCCTATCTATAACGCGTGTTTTTAATTGTTAACTATGTAAAAAATAGCCCAAAAAAATGTCCAAACATGAGTTGGTATGTCTAAATCTATATAGAGTTGAATGTATTACTGATGGTAAAAATAATTAATATTTGTTCTTATTTGTAGGAATCGAGAGATGGACAAACATACAGTAGAAGAGAAATGTATGCAGTTTTTCATAAAAAGTCTGACGGGTCTTTTGTCAGTGAAGATGCATACAATAATAATGTAAGTACAAGTTAGTTCTTTTAAAATTATTGTTAGTCTCCGTAAGGTATGAGAAAAAACCAAACCTTTTGGCATCTCTTAAAGGTGGGGAGAACCTGTCTGAAAACTAGTTAAATTAGATTGAGAATTATGATTATTTGAGTTAATTAATTAGTCTTGTAATAATAGATTGTCCTCTTTATAAAGTCAACTAATTATTCAGAAAAATAGAAATAAAATGTAAAAGTTTAACTAAATACAAGTAGTAAGAAAAATGTTTAACATGTATACAAATTTTACATAATCAAACATGTTATTGGAATTGAAATTTACCATCACAAATGCATACTGGAATTGAAATTTACCATCACAGATAGATTAACTAGCTAAGTCAAGTTTTAAATTACTAAATATTAATACAAATTTATCAGTTTTTGCTTATAATCATTGTTTGTTTCCCCTTAAAACGTAGAAAAAATTTTATTAGCTAGAGTGAAAAGTTAAGTTAAGTTTGCTTTCTCAATTTACTCTTTTTCATGTGCAGGAAAAGTTACAAGCTGCAATTAACGATTTTATGTCTGAAAATGAGGCATTTCAGAAAGTATTTGGAAAGGAACAACCTGGATATGTTCGTAGTATAGGACTTGGAGTTAAACCATCTCATATTAATAGATCTACAAGATCGACATCTTCTTCTGCAGAAATGAAAAACTAAAGGAAATGCAACAAGAAATTATTGCACTTAAAGAAAAAAATTCAAAAATTGATGAATTGATGGAGGCAATCACATTCTTAAAGCAAAGAGACAATGTTATGAAAGAGGAAATTGAATTGTTAATGTAAATGAAAAATTCTAGTGGAAGACACATATATTATTTGGATGAATTTAAAATTAAATCTTAGGAGTATTATTTTAAAGATTAATATTTTAATACAATTTTTTTCAGGGATTGAAATCACCCGCTGATGATAGACGCTCATATGAGTCTAGCTACCGATTTCCATAATGACATACTTTCTAGATTATGAACCTTCTTATTTATTTTTGGCATAATGATACTTATTGTTATAAGATTATGATTAGATATGTTTTCACGTTTTTTTGATATTATAATGCTTATTTGATATTAAATTTTGGAATTAATTTTACTACGTTAAAAAGCGATAGAAAATAAAATTAAAAAATAATACTATAAATAAAAATATTATTGTATAAATAACTTAAAGAAAAAATAATATAACTATTTTAATAGATAATAATTTAAATAAAAGAATATATTATAAAACAACATAATACAATACATACAAATTAATAATGATTTAAACTGTTGCTAAATGTAAAAATTAAATAATTAGTTGCGCTTTAAACAGTTACCAAATAAATTATATTTAAAATTTTATAAATCAAATTACGACGATTTGAACTGTCAAGATATCATATTCACGATAGTTTTAAACCGTCACAATCAACAATGGTAACAAAAATCAAAAGAATATTCACGACAGTGTTTAACTGTTGCCATTTCCAATTTATGTCAGTTCCAACCAGTCGTGAAATAGATTCACGACAGTTTTAAACCGTCATATTCAACAATGAAAAAAAAATCAAAAGGCTATTAACGATGTCTTAAACCGTCGTCATCTCCAGTTTAGGTCAGTTCTAGCCCATCGTGAAATATAACGACGGTTGGTGTGGCGGTTTTGGCAACCGTCGCTAAACAGCCTAGGGACACACGTTTCTACGACGCTACTACGACCGTCGTGGAATTTAATTAATGATGGTTTTAACCGTCGTAACCTACCAAAATAACTGTCGCAATCCATTGTTTTTCTTGTAGTGCGAACCTATAATATGATTAAAGAGTATCATAGTGATTGGTGAAGATGAATCTGATGGTTTAAAGTTTAAAGAGTGACATGGATGTTAGGATTACGTCATGAGAGAGAAGACTGAAATATGTTAGGGTTTTCGTTTAAGAGAAATGATTGTTATGTACAGAATGATAGATAATTTTACTTATATACTAAAGAATATCACATTTCATCACAGTTAGAAAGAAAAATTGTGATATAATATATCACTTTTAAAATGGTTCTTTAGTAAAACCGTGGTTAAATCTCTTACAATTTTATTTATTTATTTATGAACCTAATTGTTAGAGAGGTATTGATTATTGTTATTGGTATTTTTCATTACTGTTGCGATTGTTTTTATTTTTATTTTTGTTGGCTTGTACTATTTTTTTTGTAAAACAATAATAATGTATAAATGAAAGAGTATATATGACAATAATAAATATTTTCATTGAGAGGGTCAAGAGGGCGGAGTACATAAATTATTTCATTACATGATTTTGTCAATTCAAAATAATAACCCCTAGCAGAAAAAAAATCTTCATAATTTATGAATCTCTCCTCACTACCCTCGTCAGAATCATAGTAATAAATTTTTCTGGACACCTTTTTCGTCTTCTTCTTCAGCTTCTTATTTTTCTTCTCGTTGACCTTCCTAATCTTAAGGATATCCCTGGCAGCATTCGATCCAGATGGTTGGACCTCTTCAGTTGACTGCTTATCATGGTGTTGTATTATGGTGACTTCAGTTGAGATATTTCTGTTAGCATTCTCAGATGGAGAACTCATGTTACAATATGTAGTTAAGAAGAATAGTTTAAAGAAGTGGAAATTTATTATATGAAACTCTGCCTTTGTATAAGAGGTTGAAGATGACAGACCCGATGATTTAATGCTTGAAATGATTATTTCAAATGGTTGTTATTCTTGAATGACATTGTGATCGTCTTGAAAACTAAATAATGTTTTCAATTATCATTATAGTTGGGAAGAGCATTCCTCTCTTTAGGGAAGTGCAAAGGTTGTATAAATAATATTACAACAGTTTCATATTAAATCCGTAATTAAGTAAACTTCAATTTTTTATTTATTTATGAATATAATGAAGGATTTAAATGAATTTAATAGATATAAATTATAGCATATTGTTTAATCTAACAATAATCAAGAATAATTAGAACAATGTACCTTATAAGATTGAAGAGACGGTTGTCGAAACTTGTGAGTATGAGAGAATTACTACCCTCATTGTCGTTTAGGATTTTCAGAGTAGTTTAATTATCTAATGGGGAGACACTTAAATAGCTAAACGGATGAGGGCAGGGACCTCTCATTGGGCTTAACTGAATGGTCTAACCCATTACGGTCCATTCAGGCACAAAACCCAATCAAACAATTCATCTATTTAGTGTTTAATAACAATAGACCATAATATAATTAATTAATAGTTAATTATGTCAATCCATATTTGATTAATTAAATAATTAATCTAACATATAAGTGACACATGGTTTTTGTAATAAGAAAAATAGAAAAAACGTAGATGTTAGGATTTGAACCATGTATTACTCAATCTTTCACCACATTTGTGTCTATCAACCATGATAAAATGACTTTTAAAAAAGTAAATAATCATTTGGCGCATCCGGTTTCATATATTACAACGGTGGATAAAATGATTGTGGTAATATTATGATACCGAATGTGTTGTCATAGTGATGATGAATGATGATAAACGATGAACCAATGATGATTAACGATGATGATGAAAGATGAATATTAAGGTTGATATGGTGTTCGTTTCTCAGCATTGAATGTTAGGATTAAAATGGTGTATCGTTTCTAAAAAAAGAATGACTATTGAAAAGAAAAATTAGTTCGCTTGATAAAAATGAATGAATGATACCATCACCGTAAAAAATAAGAATTATGGTGATATGTTACTTACTAAATTAAATTTCATAAAGAAGCAACAGTATATTACAATTTAAAATATTTAAAATAAAATGAAAAATATGTCACAACCGTTCAACTACGCAACCGTGATGGTACCGCATTTATTTAAAAATTAAAAATAAATAAAATAAAAAGGTGTAACTAAATGTTAAAGATATAAAACATTTGACACGTCGGTATATTACAATTTAAATATTTTAAATAAGCCATAATGGTTTAGTTATTCAACCGTGGTGGTATCAAATGTTAAAAAAATGTTAAGAATACAAAGGCATGACTAAATGTTAAAGAAATAAAACATTTGAGGGTACTAAAATTTGAACCCAAGAAAGGATGATTATATAACCATAGTAGTATGTTTTATCTGTGATTATATCATATCAAAATTTTCATAAGTAAATAAAAAAATTATCCTGCGTTAAGTAAGACATTTCATCACGGTGGAAGCCTGATCGTAGTAGAATTAGTATTACCGAAGGTGTATTTTGTAGTAGTGAGAGTTTCCACCAAACTTTATTTATTCGAATAAAAGAATAGGAAAACATTGATAAAACCTTTAAAAATAGAATAATGGTCGTCGCAACCATATGCTGGTTTGGGAGTCGATTATGCTAGGGAAATGTATTAGAACTTTTCATATCAATTTTACTCAACGAGAACCTCTTAGTTAGATTTGTGATTGAATGTTGGCTATCACCACTTGCTTTCTTCAAGTGGTAAAAATATTAGAAAGAGAAAAGAAAGAAAACCTAAAAAGGGGGAAAATAGAGGTTTTTTTATAGTGTGCCGCCAAGCATTGGGGCCCTCGTGTCTAAGTATCCTCATAATAAAATGAGGAATCAAAGCATTCGTAGTTCAGAGAGAATACAATTTGTTGATTTGAGTTTTTTAATGAAAAGTGTTTAGATCGCGTTCTAACGGATAAACATTGTCCTGTCTACTCTTGGGAGAGACTTAAGCATTAGTTTGTATGCACATTAGAAGAGACTAAACAATGTTCTTTTGCAAAAAGGTGTTTGATCGCATGGGGGCGAGTAATTAAATTTTGAAAGGTTTCAACCGCACGGAGGATGAGAAAAGATAACATGGATGTGTTGATGTTGATTTTAGGGTTTTGAAAAGAATGTTATTTTTTATTCAAGTTGTACTAAAGACTATGAGCGAAGGCGATTATTTCAACAACCAAGATAAGTGTCTTGTGTTCAAAATACTCAGAGTGCGGGTAGGAAAGCTTCATTCTCACTCCTTCTCCACTACTTAAGGCTCATGCCGTGCAATTCTATTTGTATTTTAAAAGTGTTTAGGTTTACTGAGAAAATGTCGTTTGACGTTAGATCAAGGGTTTTATTAAGAAAACTGAGGTTGAATATGGTTTACGATTGATAATGGATGCTTATGAAAGAAAATGGCTTGGTGTTGACCAAGTTGATTTTGAAAATGAGTGTGGAATTAGTTGATTTATTTTATATATGAAGGTTAATGGATGTTAAGAGATTGATTTCGGTTTGAAAAGGTTTTGGTGTGATTTTAAAAAATGTATTTGATGTTGATCAAGCACCTTTAATTTTAGTATTTTTGAAAGGTTAAATTTAAGGGCCGTTTTATCTTTTTGGATTAAAAATTATGCATCAACTAAAAATACTAAAAAAAGAAATAAAAAATATATAAATAAAGGATAAAAGAAATAATAAAAGGGAGGGGCACACTATCAATACAAAAGGTAAAATAAAAATAAAAATAAAACTAAAGGAAATAGAAGAAAAAAACAATAAGTAAATAAAGCAATAATATGAAAACAAATAAATAAAAAAAATATACAAAAGACAAAAACAAGATGAAAATTTGGGGTGTAATTAGGAAAATGCTCTAGGCCCAAAGGAGGGAGTTCCATAGGGGTGCATTGAG